GAGCCAGAGGCACATGTCTTACATGGAGAGGTCACTGCCTTCTTGTTCTGCTTCTTTATTTTGGATAGGTGAAACAGAAAAAAAAATGTTTTAAAAATAACAACAAAAAATAGATGCAAACTTGCAGTACAACCCTCTGGTTGCAGCTGGAGCCCAGCTGGGAGGAAAAAGACTTCTAAGGCAGAGAAAAGGGAGGCTCTGATTATTTATTAGTGGCCGATGTTTGATTGCTTGCTAATCAGTCCAGAGAACACTCTGGCTCTCCTGGCCTCCCCGCTCACATGTGGTTCCTGTTGCTTTGCCCCTTTCCCCCTCCCTCTCTCTGGTTTTGCTTTGTTTGTTTTTCTGTTAATTTGGTTGTTTTTTCCATGTCATTTTCCGTCAAACCGCATGTTTTTTCCTCTTTCTCTCGCCAGCCACTGCAGTGACAGGCATGGAGGAAGCAGGCCAGCCTGGGACTGCTTGTACTCTGCCAGTCCCTCTCCCACATCCATGGCCTGGGAGGCAGCAATGCCCATGGGACAGCGCTGGGGCTGGCACCAGGCTGCAAGACCCCAGGCCACGACTGCAACATAAAGACAACTCCAGTGCCTGCATCCCAATCTGTGCCCCTGCTGCTGGAGGGGATTCTGCTGTATTTCCTCTCCCATGCTTGCACTCCATCATGTCAGGCAGCAGCCTTTTTGGGCAGCAGGCCGAATCATGAGGGTCAGATGCATGTCCACCAGAGCTTGGGCATCCCCAAAGCAGGACAGAAGGGCAAAGGGGAGGAGGTGCTGGGTGGGGATGGAGATAAGTATGTTAGAAAGGGATGGAGGGATGGGAGCAGAAGGAGGGTGCCTGCCCTGGCTGCCTCCCTCCCTCCCTCCTTTGCACACAAGGCCTCCCCTCTCTCATGTGCACTCTCCAGCTTCTGGCAGCCTTTCCGACGCGCGTTTCCACTCCTCTCTGGCCCATTAGCAGTATTTTTATAACATTCTGTAACGCACAGCGCCGTGTGCCAAACCTCAAGAGTGCATTATTTCCCAACATCTTTGTTATATCCACCCCCGGGCCCTCCGGCTGCGCGTTCCCAAACGCAGAGCTGTGGCTTGTGGGGGCAGCCAGGAGCCCGCCACCACACTCCTGTTACCCAGAGCCTTGTGCTCCCTCCTGCCCTGCTCCTGGTGCTCAGCCCTGAGATGCCTGGTGTGTAAAAAGACCTGGACCTCTCTTCTGCTTCTGGCCACACGTGGGCATCTGCTGCTGTCAGGCTGCAGGGCAGGTGATCGCTGAACACCTGGCTGTTCTCCTGTCCTTCAACTCATGCACAGCTGCCTGAAGAAAGGGGCAGACCAACAAGTCACTGCTCAAAGTGCCCTGGAAGAGGTTTCCCCTGGAGAAGTGCCAGCTTCCCCCAGGCCAATTTGTGCTGAGGAGGATGAATGCCTTGTAGGTGGCTGACCTGGGACCTTTAGCAATAGACAAGCCTGGGGATCCCTCCTCGCCATCCCTGAATGCACACTGTCCCACCACATGTGCACCAGTGCTCCCATCTCTGCAGTGAGTGAGACAGCCCAGCCACCCCCAGCCTCCGCACGGTTCCCAGGTGTGCTGGGCTCCCAGCCACATCCCCCATGATGTGCTCTTGGGTGTCAAACCCTTCTCAGGGATCAGACGAGCTATCTGTGCCTTCCCTCCCCCTGCTGAAGCACACTGATAAAACACCTCCACACATTTGTGCCTGCACCATTAATGTAGCATGCTGGTCCCTTCAGCATGAAATCCCCACCCCAGATATCCTCTTTTCCCTCCTTAGCCACTGGCATACCCAACCAAAGCCCCTGGTCCTTGTGGGCCAGAGCCATTACAGATAACACCTCAGAGAGTGGCCCAAATACAGTCCAACTGTGGTGCCAAAGTTTCCCCATCCCTTCCAGGAGCTCCCCCTTTCAGCACAATCTGATCCCCTGTAGCTATTTCCTAAGCTGTGTTCCAATTCTCATACTAATCCACATTTTCTCTGGTTTAACTCATAATTTCCCATGTGGCACCACAGCAAATTCTTCACTGAAGTCAAGACAGATTACACTGACCACATTTCTGGGCTTAGAAAACCGGTTCCCTTATCAAAGAGAGCTATCAGGTTAATCTGCTGTGATATATCCCTGGCAAGCCCCCCTTGTGTTTTTTTCCCATTTTCCATTTGTCTCCATCTTTAATTGCTCCCCCTTCCAAGTGCACCACGCAGCCCCACTGTGCTGTGGGGTCAGGCTGTCTGACGAGGACTTTTCCTTCGCTCAGGCGACGTTGCACTGGGTACCACCACTGGCCTCTCAGCTGCTAACGAGCCTTGCTAATGAACAGATGTCCTCACATGGGGATGAGGTGCTCCCCAAGCCGTCAGTGCATTGTGGTCTTTGAAGGTGCCTCCAGAACAGAGGATAACCTCCAGGTTTTATGCTCCCTCCTCTCCCTTAGCCTGTGCTGCCCTTGCTCTCAACATCGCTGCTCAGACCCGGTGGGGTTCATTTGGTATCGGGCTCTGCTGAGCTTATGTTTAATCTCCCCTGAAACCTGTCTGCAGAACCAACTCTGCTCTTCTCTCCTCGTTTGCTCTGTATTTATATGGCTAACCCCCCTTTTCATTTCCTCTGCAAGGTCTCGCTCAGCTTGACTCCTGGCAGGTCTCCCTTTATCCCTGTGCTCGCTGACCCCCACGACAGAGCTTGCTTTGCTAATTGACACCCTTTCCTGGTCCTCAACCCTTCTCTGCTCCCTCTACACATCCTCCCTGTGGTGTTGTATGCTCAGGAGCACTCCTGCCTTGCCTAGGGAGCGCATTCCAGGTACCATAATTTATTTAATGAGATCCCCAGCACTTCTCCACGTGCAGCCCCAGCCCCTCACTCTCGCTGCAGTCATCTTTCTTGTTGCCCCAGCAAAAGAGAAAAATGCAGGCAGAGGCATGTTTTCATTTAATTTCCCATGCAATTGGAACGAAATGAGTCCAAGATCCCTCAAATCCCAGGTCTGGGCTCCCAATGCACTCAACTGCAGCAGCAATGCTACCACAGGGCCATGCTGCAAACCTCCCACAAGTCACCCATCTCCAGCTACATGCCCAAGCCCATCTCTGTTCCCTGCTGGGATGCTCCCAAACCCACTCCACTCCCTTGAATGAATCCTCACACCTCCAGGGAATCAATCATTTCCAGCAGAGCCAGGACACTTAGGGTGGGGTGGGGGAGGCAGGAGCTGGGGGTGCAGCACTGGGAAGAGAAACTTCACAGAGAATGTTAAATTAAAATCCAGACAGTTAAATTAATTACCACTAAAAGCGTCTCACCTGATTAGTTCCTTGCACAGTTAATTGTGTTAACAACGCCAGACACTTGTTTATTTATTTGTCACCCTTTCTCCACGGGCTGCTGGCCCCAGCAGTGTCCAACTGGGCTTCTCAGCTGCCCAGTGCTCAGGGGGCTGTGACTCTCCAGCAAATGGGAACACACAGTAATAGGGAACAGCAGGATTTGGGCTCTAACGCTGAGCAATTCCCACGGGTCCCTGAGCGGATTGACAGGGATTACTATTAGCGAGGTGCTTAGCAGATGGAGGAGCCATTGCAAAATCACAGCGGTGCCACAGCTGCAGAGGAGGTGGCTGGAGGCTGTGGACGTCTCCCCACTCCCCTTGCTTCCTGCAGGCCCGGGCTGCAGCTCTCTGTGCACTGGCACAGCCTGGGACCTCTCCCTAGATGGGATTTGGTGAACACATGCCCAAGCAGAGGAACTGCACAACCTCCTTGTGCTGCTGCCTGCACTGCACCCAGCTCCTGCCTTTTCTGGCTCTGAACTGTGAACACCTCCTGACCATAATGCAGCTAAAAAGCCCCTGACTCATTTGTTAGGCAGTGGCAGTAGCCTTTTGTCTGCCATGCTCCCAACCCCCACATTCACTCACTGGTGTAAACTCTGCCCTGTGCTGACTGCTTCCCCTTATCTGCTTCTCACATCGCCTTCCAGCTCCTTCCAGCATCCCTTCTCCTTGGCCCAGACACCAGGATCCATCCCACATGACCTTAAGTGAGTTGGACACTGTAGAGCATCTCTAAGATTTGAATCTTTAGGTGCAGTGAACCTCTCATGCTTTATTTTCATATTTATTACACAGACCCTCCTGGGACCCTCTGTCTCTGGAGCATGGCCTAGGATGGAAACACCACTGTGGCTTGATGCCAGGTGCAGAAGGTGAGATAAGGAGTAGAGAAAGACTCTGCTGTGTCTTCCAAACCCGGGAACATACAGCCACCTACATGACACATCCCTAGATGGCGGGGCTCCCAGCTGGTGCATCACAGTTAGCATCCCACAGCCAGCTATGCCGGCTGGTGCTCCCAGACACCCACAGCTGCCAGTTCCGCACGCCGTGCTGCAAAACACACACTTGCTATCAGCTGTACAAACACAGCAGCCCTCAAAACACACAGCTGCTATCAGCTCTCAGCATCATGTGAAATACAGCACAACTCTTATCTCCCCCACCAAGGCGCAGGAATCCTCTCATCCCATGCTGGAGATACACAAAATGCTGGGGAATGAGCAGCTGTCCTCCAGCACACCTGTGCACCCAGGATCCTGCAACACCTTTTGGGTGCTCCTCTGAAACAACCACACTGCAGTAATCCCAGACAGGGCTTCTCCTTGCTGACTGCAATCCTCTCTGACAGCTCTTTCCACCTACAGAGATGGTTGTTGTGTCACAGGGCTAGAGGGAGAAGTTACATCCCTTCTCAAATTATTCTTGAGGCATCATTTAATCTACTGGCCTTGATCCAAAGCTTGGGGCAGAGTGGCTGATTCCAGCCGGGATTAGTATGCCATGAGGACCTCATACACTGGTGTGCAGAGGACAGCCCCATGTACGGAAAGCAGAGGGGCTGGCACAGCAGGAGTGGGGCTGTGGGAGTCAGTATGGGAGCAGAGACTGCCCCCCTTAATGTGACATGCTGGGGTACTCACTTCCCACCCTCAGGGTGGTCTGGTATTTGAGGTGCCAGGAGGAGCCCTCGTAGCAGGAGTACTGGCCACTCTGTGACAGGTCAACATTCTTGAGGATCAGGTAGGACCCGTTCAGGTGGGACTCGTCGATGTCGGTGCCGTTGGCTGTCCAGGTCACGGCTGCGTCCCAGTCCATGGAGCCACACTTCATGGTCACGTCTGCACCTACCCGCTCGTACTGGATGTGGCTGTCTGTGGGAAGGAAAAGGGGAAAAACAGTGAGCTCAGAGCCCCTCAGCACTGCTGCCTTCGAAACAAGATATTAGCTTCCCATCCGGGAAGTAAAGAGAAGGACTGGGGTGTGGAGTGACACTTTGCTGGTGGACAGGGAAGACCAAGTTCTGCTCCTATCCCCAGCCATGATTTATTTTAGACTAGAGTGGACCAGCTGACAAATACCAGAGGATCATGGACCACCTCCACCCACAGGACGGCTTCCTCTCACCTTTGCTATGGTGAACACATGTCAGGGCTGCACGTATGGCTCACCAGCCAAACACCCCACAGCACAGCCAGACACACAGGACATTGCCAGTCGTGTTCCAGGTGACTTGTTCCAGGACACAAACCAAACGCATGTATCACAAACTCCCACAGAGAGATGACACAGCCCCAGGACTTGTCACCAGCAAACTCCACGTATTTACTAGCACAGATGGGAAGCAGGTAATTCTCCTTGCAATTCCCTAACCAGTAAACCAGGCAGGAGGATTGCAACCTAACTGTGCTGTGCTGTGGAAAGGCACAGCTGCATGGTGCATGCAGTGCTCTTTGTCTCCCTGTCTGGGTTTTCTTTTCTTTCCACAATAACATGATGCTTGCTGAGCTGTTTGATGTAGCAGCTCACGAGTGGGGCAACACAGCTCATTGGGCACCAGCTGCCTAATTGAATTTTCTCAGGTTTCTGGACAGGAGCTGGAGCTGACATTCATTAATGATCCTTGGCAACTGAGTATTTCCTGTGTTGCTACACTTGGCTGTGCTGAGCTGCATGTGGCAAGGATAAAACCACGTGAGTGCATGTGCATGACACAGGGTGAAGCAGGACGGGAGGATGAATGGGGATGAGGTTCCTTCAAGTCTTCATCAAGCCTTTGTGCACAGACAAGGGTGGTTCAGTTCTCAAAATTCTCCCGGGCTTCCAAATCACATTTGACAAGGTGCCTTCCAAGGAAACTGAGCAGCAGGGAAAGTCCTTGTGAGGATTTATAGCAGCTAAAGTCACGAGACCAAAGGTGAAAACAAGCTGTAAAATCTAGCAGTAGAAGATGTCACTGCTGAAGTCTGATGGAGATCCAAGCTGGATCAGATCTGCCCAACACCCTCGTAACTCACAGGTAAAAGGGGTCAGGGCAGAGAGAAGACAGAGTGCTGCTGAGGCTGTCAGGGCAGCCAAAGCACAGCTGGGTTCCAAAGGGCTGCAGAAGGACATCAGGGTACAGACCACCAGGCAGCAACCCTGTGTTGATTAACGTGCAGTGGAATGCATGCAGCCTTCCTTCCCCTACGCACTCATGAGTTCAATTGTGCCACAGCCTTCATGGGAACCCACCTTGGAGTCATCACACTCCCTTCCCTGAAAACATCAGCTCAGTGGTGACCGAGAACTCAAACCCAAAATGGAAAGCAGTGTAACTCAAAAGCCATGAGCAAACCTGTCCCCGTGCTGTTATGAGCACAGCATCCCTCGGTATGCAAGGAGGACAAATAGAGAAGGACTGCTTGCTCTTTCTCGTAATAAAATAAGGGGGAGCAAGACAAGCAATAGAAAGTAGTTTGGTTTTTTTTTTTTGCATGAATTGTGATTAAATTACAGAAATTTATATCCATCAGATGCTGTTGATGTCAACATTGGAGGGGGGAACAGTGAGTAAATGAATTCACAGCAGATGACCTAAAACACTGAGCTGCCCAGTGAGCCTTGGGAGACTGCAAGCAGCTGATAGTGGAGACAGATGGGATAAGCACCTCCAAGGCTTCTCCTCTCTTTTCTCCCTCTCCAGACATCAGCTCCTGGGTCCCACTGATAGGTGGGACCACATGGATATGATCCAGCATTCCTTGTGCCTAAGCCCATATCCTGATCCCATCTGCAAAGCTGGTTCTGGAGGTGTGTCTGGCAGGTCTCAGGCATCCTGCAGATGGTCTGTCAGGATACCTGCTTCTGACAGGAATAGAGCAACTTTGGGGATGTTATCCCTGCTGGGAAAGGGGGTGCTAAAGACAAGGAAAAACTGGTATGTTGTGAGTAAGTTGCTGGTGGGATGCCTCAGGGCCATTTCTGCACTAGACAAAGATGGAAACCTTTGGGAAACTGCTGACCAAAAAATTGTATTTCAAGGGTCTTTAAAAAGCTGTGAGAATGTACTGACAGGCAGAAAGAGGGGAGGACATCTAAGATGAAGCATCTATGTGAGGAGGGGTAGCTGGAACAGGACCAGATACACAGGCAGATAGGCAGAAGTGGAAGAAGACAGTGCATGGATGAATGTGTGTAACGACAGACAGATGGACAACAGGCTGGATGGGCACAGATGGAATGGAGGAAAGAAGGCATGGAAGGACAGTGAATGTGATGGTGTTGGGTGGATGGCTGGCTCCTTGAATGGCTCTGGATGTGGATGAACGGATGGACAGACAAATGACTAGGCACATGTGTGGATAGACAAATAACAGATATCAGAGTTTCAGTAAGAATTCAAACATCTTACTCAAGTTCTCTAATTTCTTCTACTGCATAAGGTAAAGAGGTTTTGGGTTTTGTCTTCCCATTTCCTGTTGGCTCACACGAACATTGACTATCCTGCCCTTACACTTGGAATTCTGCTTATCAGAGGCACTGGAGCTCTGACACGCACTATTGCACTACCCACCAGCCTTGCACGGAGAAAGGCTCAGTGCAGTGAAGGATCCATAGACCTGCCTCCCTTGCCTGGCTCCTGCCTGCTCAGTGCCTATTTCCAGAGAAGAACTGAGATGGGGGAAAACTCTGGGATGCTCAGTTCTGCCTCTCAGGACTGTGGCTGAGAGCTTTTCTGTAGCTAGTGGCTGAAGGACTATGTTGGGAAGGAAAAAAGTCACCTTGACTTGTTTCCTTAAACACAGTACAAACACATTGGCATTCATCCAGAAGGGCTGAGCGAGCCATTCCTGGAAGACAGGTCTTTGAAAGCAACACTCCTTTCCAAGGCAATGATTTAAGGTTCCTGATGAAGGAGAAACCCAAAGCACAGCTTCAGAGGAGGCATTTCTTCCAGCAGGGTTTGCTGAGGATCTTACTGGAGCAGAGACAAGTCCTCATGTCCTCCCTTGTGCCATGCCAGGTGTGGGAGTCCCACCCAACCACAGTGACATCAGATGTGTGGCAGCCCCTTTGGGAAGGGGCACCATGGGGACAGCTCCCCTGAAATGCTGGAGAAGCCTGTCTTCCACTGAGAACAGCAGCTCTGCTGTAGGATGGGGATGAGCAGGGGTGACCAGAGCTCTACTGGGACTCTCCACTTCCTGCAGGCTAGGAATGCACCCAGAGCTCCACAGCTGCCTTGGAGGGAAGGGAGGTTTGTCCACACTCCTGGTCACCGTGTCATTGGTAACCTGTGGGATCAACGACCACGATGGTGCCTGTCCTGCAGGGCCAGCCCTTTGGATGGATATCAACTGGTGACAGGAGTGTCCTGGTGGAAGATTTGAGCTGGACATGGATGATAATTTATTCTCCTGAAGGGTACCACAGCACTGGCACAGGTACCCACAGAGAGGGAGGATTCTCATCCATGGGGTTTGTCAGGGCTCTGTTGGCAAAGCCATGGCTGATCTGGTCTTCTGCTGAGGACAGAGCTTTTCCAAGTGGGGCACTGGACTAGACACTTCCAAAGATTCCCTCCCAGCAACATGGATTTGATCACTGGCTACAACTGGCACTTCAAGATGCTGCCCTGCCCCTACACCACCCTGCTTCTCCAAAGCATGCTGGCTTTTGGGTCAAGTGACATCACAGGGCTGTGATGTCATCATAGAGGGGCTGCACCCCAACCAGCAACATGCCTCTCAGCATCCAAGCCCACTACGGGCCACATCCTCCTCCAGGCACAGCACACCTGTCAGGCATAGCATGAAGTCCCAGATCTAGAAAGGAGCCATGGTGATGCATAATGGGAGAAATTACAGCTTTACCCACATCTCTGCAAAATTGTAGTGGAAGGATGATGGGAATAAGCATTCAGAGCTTCTAGTTGTGGGATAAACATACACATTCTAGTAATGAGCTTGGGGCAGCTTGGTGAAATGAGCTGTGTGAGCTGCTTTGCTGCGCTAGCAATGATGAGTGGCAGCTTGATAGGTGCTGCAACAGGCAACAGAGACCAACAGGGCAACAGACAGCCATCCAGCAGAGAGATGTGGAGGGAAAATGAGACAAAGCAGCTGAGACATGGGGCCCATGGAAATATATTCTATGCTTCCCAAACCCATCCAGCTGGAAATCAAATAGAAACCTCATCCTCCTTCATGAAACCTACATCAAAACTGGAAGGGAAACAGCACAAAGAAATCCTGCAAAAAGGGGAGCACTGCCCTGGCATGCACTGTACTAGGAAGGAGCAGAACTCCTCTTGGGACTGTCCCACTCCATCTCCTGTGCCTTTGCTCCAGCTGAGGCTCCCACCCAGCCAGCATGGGCAGCTGGCAGGCATGGCAGGAATGCTGCTGGGCACTGGCATGTGTGGAGCCACAGATGTGGCACTGGGGGTCTATGCCCAGAGTCCTGAGGGGTCACTGGAACACGGAGCAGAGGAAGTGAAGAGGATGGTTTGCATTCCTGGCACCAGCGCTCACCACAGCCCTTTAATGGGGGTCTTTCAGCCAGGGCCTGTGGCAAGACAGCATCCAGCAGACACAGGGCCAAAATCTCACTGTCACAGCGATTTGCAGGCAGACTGGGACAAATATTCCCTCTGAGCACTCTGCCAAAATGCACTGCAGGGCTGTGGCTTGTGTAAGCAGAGAATGAGCAAAAGAAAGGCACTGCAGCATTCCTGGGGAGAGGAAAGAGCACTCTGCAGGTTCCACAGCCTCTGGCTCTGCCCTTCTTTTGCAGATGGTGAAACCAACACAGTGAGAAAGGCCAGGTCCCCACATTCTCTGACAGGGCATGGAGCCCTTCTGCAGTGGGACAGAGCACATACATGTCCTTG